CAAAAAAATGAAAAGAACAAACACAAATATATGTATTGCCCGCCGTACATAATTTTATTATTAGAATACACGAGTGAAAGAGAATCCCAGTAATCGTTCGTTGAACTGACGCGTTTAATAACGTAGGCGCAATGAAACATTTTAAACTGAAAGATATGATATGCATATATATATATATATATATATATATATATATATATATATAAAGAAATATAAATACTAAAAGAGTGACGTGAAAATGCAACTCTAATCAGGACAAAGCTACTTTTATCCTAGAACAGAATTAAACGTTATTCAATTACAAAAATGGTAAACATTCGCTACAAAAAATATATGGCCGAATAAAGGTTCGTTGTAAATTATACTAATTGTACGTTCACTCTTTGGGAGTGAAATTAATTATCACTTTTGAGTATGGCTGGTTAGCCGTGAGTTCTCGTCACTCTTTTAGCACAGAGAGAAATTGTTTAGGATATATCGTATATACGTGACGGCGGTAGGTAGCGGAGGTAGGTAGCGGCGGCAGTGGCGGCAGTGGCGGCGATGGCGGTGGTGACAACAACAGCAACAGCATTGAATTTTTGTATCAATGCCTATAATGGTGGTCGAGTGTTGCGCTTCATTCCACAAATCGAATGAAGGAAAAATAGGGGAATGCTTTAATTTCGTCAAACGTGTAGTCATTAAAAGTTTCCTCTTTCTTTTTCTTTTTTATTGTGTTTTTATTAAGTTTGTTGTTGTTCATCTGCGCGTAATCTATTGTCCTTACAGGATACTTGGAGGATGAATGCTAAATATATGAATTCAATTTGTTTTTGTTCACTAGTTTTCATCGTAAAGTGATAGGCCCGCTTGTATATGTATAAAGAAAAATAAACCAAAGAAAAACAATAAATCACTATGAAAATTAATTTTTTCCCGAGAACAGACCTGTGACGGATAGTTGGCACTGTCGTTCTCACCATTAAGATATCAATTACTGCCTGCAAAATAAAATATACCCCATTCTCTTCGACGCTTTATCTTCTTCCATAATTTCGTACACAATTAAAAGAAAATCGAACAAATTAATCGGAACACCACCGATCGTCCATAATTATACAATAATACTATATTTACAAATAAATATTCTATTAATTTTCATAGAAAATTATTTACTGTGCATAACAATGACCTCATTCTCCTGGATAATCGTAAATAATCGGAGGTAGTAACAATAACTTTAGACAAGCTGTATAGAAATTAAAGAAGAAGAGAAAATGCTAATCGTTCAAAATATCAACCTGGCTCGACTCCTGGCCTCTCTCGCATCGCCCACGAGTCATAAATATATCCAAGTCGTCAAAATATAAAAACTTAAATCGATAAGCTATCTTCCCCATCTACGCGTATCCCCGTAAAGCAGAGCGGCGGTGAAAGCCATTGCTGACCCAACAACATCTATCGTCTTGAAACTCGACGATCACTCTTATCCTGGGGGGTTGGTTGGTGGGACGGGGGTGGGGTGGGGGAGACGGAAGAGCAAAAAGGAAGCGGAGCCGCAATATAGAAACAGGCTTATCGAGCGGCTATAAAAGGTGCGGCCGAATGCGTCCATCGAGCGGCAATCGCGCGGCGCAAGATGGAAAAAAAGAAGAAGAAAGAAAGAAAGAACCCGAATGCCGATGAAGAACCGCGGAGCGGCCAATAATGGCTGACGAGCGAGAAAGCGAGAGTCTCGGGAAGACGTAGACTGGCCGCGATCCTTGCGAAAATCTTGCCGGCCTCGAGAAAGGGCCCAGTGATCGCTCTTAATGGGTTATCGCTGGGTTAATGGGTGATCCGAGAGCTCCTGGCCTAGGGAACGCTGGCCAGCCCGTTGATTGCCATTCGGGCCAAGTTCACGCGAGCTGCGAAGGTGGAAGCCTCCCTTCGTAAGAGGAGCGTCCGATTATTGCCAGCCAAGTATCCGCAGGATGAATAAATAATAGCATTTGAAATTATTGTATTTGTTGGGTTTATTGGTATAGAGCGCGATGGACGCGCAGTCGGCATTAATAAACTACCGGTTGGCCGATTTTCCGTCCTCTACCGCGCAACTTGCCAAATGCATTTACTCGCGGAGCCCATCGAGGTACGACGAGGTCACGTGATGAGAGCGAATAATCGTCGCCGCCAGTGGGCCGAATATAGGATGAGTTTTCTAATCGTAATTGGCGAGGTAATTGGCTGGACAAAGTGCCGAGGCATTTTCGGTCGGATTTTGTCCACTGCGGTAGCCGCTACTCCTCAATGCTCCTCAGACAGTCTCGTTTTTTCTCGAGTCATTTGGCGAGCGACGAGCGAGGATGTGAACAGTTGGACGATGTGCGAGCGTGAAAAATGAAGCGTCGTCCACGTGACTTATCAGTGGGAATGAGGGGGAAAATGTAAGAAAAGAGGCAAGATGAGGTAGTCAGGACGATAACGAACGGAAGCTCGAACTCCGCGAGATGACGTGACGAGGTGAATCGGGAATTCGTAGCATAAATACGAGGGTGAACGATGCGGAGCGAATGATGATTAGACGGTGCGAAAGTCTGATTAGGTAAGGGAGCGTGCGCGCGTGCGTGCTAGCCAGTGAAATAAATGTTATAGCGATCGTAAAAATATTTACAATTAGGAGTAATAAAGATACAATAAAATACACATCGTTCTTAGCGTTCATATGTACGAATAAGCTCATTTTTGTCATTTGTACGTCATTAATAATTATACTTTGACGCGCGTTTTACACTTTTTACTCGAGTAAAACTAATCGAATCATGTAAAACCTCGACGACTTTTAAAAAAAATTCGAGAGAATAAAGGAGAGAAAGGGAGGAACGCTGATATAAGGTAATTGTAATTTTTATTTCGCGCGCACGTCGGAGTACAATTTTTGTATAAAAACTCTGTCACTCGAGGATTTTTTCAAGTTGGATAAGCGGAAGCTAATGTCACCAGTATAAAATGTACAACAAATATTTCCTTTACCTTTGTGCGAATAAATTTGCGCACTTTAATAGCGTTACGGTTTTGGTTTTTAAAATAAAACGAGGAAGGAAATGAAATGGGGAAAAAATAAGATAAAAAGAAAAATGAGAAAAAAAATATGGCAAAGGGATAAAAGAACGTTTCCGTTCTATGTGTGTGTGTGTGTGTGTGTAAGAACCATACAGCTTTAACAAAGAACATTATACTATGACCTTACGGGATACTAAATAAAAGTAAACCATACCGTTTATCGTACAATTATTTTTATCACCTTAATCTTCCGCTCGTTTCCTATATTTCCCTTAGCTATTGACTAAGCTTCGCTCCGTCTGGTTATTCGAAGTAATTCCTATTTTATGTATAATAAGGTAATGTAAACGATACAGTTATTCAAGTATTTGTTTATACTTCTTTTTTTTCTTTTTTTTTTCAACTTCAAAAATAAAAATGTACATTACCAACTTTTAAACGCAATGGCTGTTTTAATTATACGATGGAAAAAAAGAAAGAAAGATCGTAGTATTGAGATGTATATAAGTCAAAAGAAAAAGACAAAAATGATTAAACTTATAACTAAGAAGATGCAAACTTGTAATCGTACGATGTAAAGCTGCAGGCTCTATTATTGTAATATTTATTTAAGAACTATTTATGTCCATACTCGATTCATCTCAAACTTATAAAAGCACTGTTTATAACAAATGCTCACTGTACCGTTAAGATCTTCCAATTAAAATCATTGCTGAAATTAGTGCAGTTCAAATTAATAAAAAAAAAAAAATTATATGTCTCTTTATTGGTGGACATAAATAATTATTTAACACGAGAAAAGAAAATGAATTAGCGTAGAGTTAAGCTATAAATTTCCAATTAAATAAAATAATTTTCAAATATTAATCTGTGTATAATTATCTAGCTGGATTATATTTAGAGAGAAGAGCAAAAATTATACGTATATACATATGTATAAATATCAATTGAATATAATCTGGCAATTGTGCAGTTTTCTACGTGCAATATGAAGTCACAATGTATGCAAGGTAGGTAATAAATTAATATACATCAGATAATAAGAATAAGAATGAGTCTGTGAGTCTGCTGAGTCGGCAAATACCTCAGATCCTAGCAGAACTGATGCCCAACTCAATTGAGGTTCGATGTTCCGTAATATGTAAATATTACAGCGGCCAGTTCTCATGCTTTTTTCCAATGGAATAGTTTCGGATAACTTCAGCGGCGCACGTATGTACATCTTCGGTCTAAATAGAAGTCTTGGGAGATAAAATCAACAATGCCAGGTCAGCGTGCGCGTGATTAACCAAGAGGCGCGATGGGGTTAGGTTGCTCAACTAGACGCGAGCAGCTAAAAGTTTCCAATGTCCGTTTGATTTGCCTGGAGCTCGATTATCTTTCTAACCGAGTGCGACTGGAAGATCAACTTGAAGCTTACGGCAAGAGAACGTGAGAGGATTTTCACTGGTGCACGTGCACTTTCGTCCTTCTAGTGATTATCAATATGTAGCCGTTGCCGAGACTCCTTCCCACAGCTCAAATACACACTTTCGTAACCGACAACGTAAAAGTAATGCGTCGTTAAGGAATTCATAATGCGTCGTAAGATAAAAAGAATTTCTATTCGTAACCACCACATCCCCATTACCTCATAGGTTATTTTACCTATATTATAGGAATAAACAATATATTGTATTTGATAGTGTGTAGGCTATTTTTTCATGCATTTTTTTCGTACTTTTGCGTTATTACTTTTACATGTTATATGTCGTAATATAAATAATAGTAATATTACACACGTAATATACAATTAAATTCTTTATTTTCATCATTTGTAGAATTTGTTGCAATTACTATTTATATGTATGTATAACATATGATTTAGTAATCTAATGTAATTGATTTTACAAAATATTAAATAGAAAAGTATAATTAATACCGGTGCTTTGGTATGGTAGATAAACGTTATTATTAAATATAGTCAAAAAAAAAAAAAAAAAAAAATCTATAACGGCAAATTTTGTAATTCTTTCTCTTCAATGGATTTTCTTTCGGTTTTCTCTTTCCGTCATACATTGAATCACTATACTTTTAAAGTGATAATGGAAAAAAGCGCTGCACATCTTCAGTGGGCCCATTAGCAAAGTCTGAAAAATCAATTCAAAGAAGGAACTAAGCGGCGACATTCCAGAGCAAAGGGTTGTTAATACGTAGCTCTCCCATCCGACGGTGGAGAAAAAATTTTCATCCTAAAATTGAATTCATAATGAAAATCAATATTTCAATTACATGATAATAAGTACATTATTTAATATATGGATAATACATGCTATCAAAGAAATTACGGAACGTTAAAAGAGATAGATAATGAGAGAGAGAGAGAGAGAGAGAGAGAGAGAAGCAAATATTAAGAATAAAACTTATAAAAATATTATCCGCGGTCATTTTTTTTTCTTTTCATCGTACAATAAGCAACAATTGCTTCTACCGCTGCTCTTCAATTATCTATTAAATTGATTAAGCAAACGTACGTCCTCGTTTAACGATAATTCTATAAGCTTTCGGCATAACATCCACTCTGCGTCCGTAGAAACGTACTTCGAAAGGGGCAAGAACAAGAAAAGGAAGAAATGCCTACGAGAGTTATTTTAGAGACTTACGAGTGCATCGTCCAGTAGCCTTCGGGCCACTATTTCCGGCGACACCAAACCACCGGATGCCGAGATGAGTTTCGTTTCCACGAGTTTCGACTGCTCCTCGACGACGTAACCCGGAGTGTCGGTGTCCGGAGGCAGGGACAAAGTCACGGACACATTATACGGCGCTAATTCCATCGCCAAGCTCTCCGCCAATCCTTTAAGAGCGAATTTCGTTGCGCAGTACGCCGAGTATCCGAATATTCCTGCACAGTGGGATTACGTGCGTAAAGCTGGGGGAATCGCGGGAGCATTGCGGGTGATCGGTACGCGCATTCTAGTGCGATCAATCGCACGTCGAATACCTAATAATCCGGCTTGCGAGGAGACGAAGACGATTTTGCCCCTCTTGGCCAGTTTCATGCTTGGCACTACGGCCTTGGCGCAGTAATAGCTCCCCAGGAAATTCAAGTTCATAAGGTGCTTGACGAGGTCCGGCGAGGTGTCCTCGATCTTGCTGCAAATCGACATTCCAGCGCAGTTCACCAGCATGTAGCAGGGACCCTGTTGCTTCTCCAGGTCCGTGAATGCTTCCTCTATGTCTTCGTAGTCCTGGGAGAGATCGAGCACGACGCACCCGATCCGCTGACCGATCTTGTTGCAGCAGGCGGAGTCGATTTCATCCCGAGCTGCGGACAGTTATCGGAAACCATTGAGCGTACGCGGATATGATTGCTCGTGGATCAAATGGGAGAGGGAGGGGCGCATATGAAAACTACAACGATTGTAATATGAGAAAGACAACTTGATTTGTTGTATTGCAATGTGATGGAAAAACGATACATACGTCCATAATTCCTTAAAGTATTTATTTAAATGCGTAAAAGTGACTATGTACACTGCACGTATTTTCTATTATATTAAACACGCTCATAATATAACTTAATCGAACGCCTAGGCAATCGCTACTACAAATACATCTGCAAATATATGGGCAGCCGTAGGCATTATAAAAATCATTGGAATACATAAATACATGGATGCATCGATGCATCGATTACACTAAATCGTCATTCACACTGATTATAAATTTTGCGTTTTTTTAAAATAATTTTTAATTTTTTTCACGTGCATTAATGCAATAATGAAATAAGCATTAGTGAGCAGTAAGTGAATAAAGAATGCATTTTATACAAATGTTTATGGAAAACGTCGAACGGTATTGTCAAACATTATTTTTAATAATGAAATTTTAACGATCTACTGCACGAATTATATTTAACTATTTACTTATGGTAGAACGAAAATGTTCGCTTTCCATCTTCAATTAGATTTATTAAAAAAAAAAAAGAAGAAGAAGACAAGTTTACGAAAAGGCAAATATATCATTCATTAAAAACATTGGATAAATTTATAAAACCATACCAATTACGAGTTTTTCAGGATTACGAGCAATTATCGTAACATTGGCGCCATTCTCAGCTGCTGCGATCGCCACGCATTTACCAATTCCACTAGAGCCGCCTGTTACCTACAAAAACAAGGATACAATTATTTTAATAAGTATCCATGCGATTTAGCCGAGCAGATTCGATAAATAATCCACCGCTCAATATCAACCTAAATTTCACTGACTGCTATATAATAAATAATACGAACACGCACACGCGCACACAATTTGTAAATACTTTGAAAATTATAAAATTTATTTAGAGCAAACATATGTGAACGAGGAATTTTCTCCAATTTCAAGTTAAAGTAGAGTAGCGAATACGAGGTCAAGCATCGTACAAAAGTTTTAGCATTATTAGCACATTATCATCGTGTTAATAATTATTATGATGAAAAGAACGAAAGCATCTAATTACATATTATTTTACAGGTTGTACAATTTGGCGGGGGATGCAACATTATTATTGTAATGTCGTTCGAAATAATCGTTGAAATAATTGAAAGAAACATAATATATCAACCAAAAAATTTGGCTAATCTATTTCATTATCTACATTACAATAGAAAATAAAATAAGAATGTTAATTGAAAAATACAACTACGACATTATACGCTACAGTGCCAACTTCAAAATAATAATGAAGAAACTTTTATGTTAAATTACTACAAAAATATAAGAAGCTTCATTAATGGTCTAGGATAAGTTTATTTCGATCTCTTCTTCCGTTAATATTTCCCGTAAAATATATTATTCTATAGTGCACTAGATACTTTAATTGATAATTACAATCTCATTACTTTAATAATTATATTATGAACATTAAAATGCATAAACATATATATATATATATATATATATATATATGTGTGTGTGTGTGTGTGTGTGTGTATATATATGCATGCGCGTATGTATATATGTGTGCATGCATATATGCATATATATGTATATGCATGTTCAATCGACCTTGACATAACCAATAATAATTAATAAATAATATCACTGCTAATCGATACTTTTGTCGGTGATTTTCTACACCATTAAAAAATATTCAGAAGCTTGAGAATAATTTATTATAACACGAGTGGCAAAAAATAATAGCTGAATTAAACGATACACCGATCTTTAAAAATTAATTTTTAGGATATGTTAGATAATTACGCAATATTTGTTTTATTGGTATATTTTTTAAAAATATATGAATTAAATATATTTTATTTAAAAAAGGTATCCGGAGAACAGAAATGGGATGTCGGCCCCGGCGACTCAGCAAACGTGTCAAAGTCAAACATAACCTAAAATGCAAAATTGCCCCAACAAAATTTACGTGCAAATATACTTTATCACGAACATGAAGAAAGCATTACCAAGTAAATGATAGAAAGCATTAAAGGATATGATTATTATTTACTTACGATGACGTTTTTATTAAACAGCAAACCCTTCCCCGAGCTCTCTGCCTTTAATTCTTTCTTAGCTCCTCTCTTATATTTATCAAATATAAGTAAAATTACCAGTACGGGAACTATGTGCAAATGAGATATCGAGGATACATAAAAAACAATCGATAATATCAAAATAATGGCAACAAATATAAGATGCTTCATTATAATTTCAATGATTTTCATTTGTAAGTGTCCGTAAATTATCGTTATCGCCCCTCTTCCTCGAAAAAGCCAAAGTCGTTTTCGTCACGACTCGTTCATTTTCAACAAACGTAAAATACTATCACATTTTACAAGGAACGAACTTGATAATAATAAAAACTCTTGCGCCTCGAGAATATCGATTCTTTACTTTTAATAACGCCGACGAATTAAAATACAACAAGGAGTACGATAGAGTATTTGCACTCAGAGTTCAAATAAGCGGTTGTCGATTGTGTTAATACGATCGAGGCGCCTCTAGTGGCCCAATGTAACCCAACAACTCGAAAACATAATATTGAAATAGCATAAACGGACAGAGAAATAAAAATGAAAAAAAAGAAAATAAAAATATATTATCGGAGCCCTTGAAATTACACGATGAACATGATTGAAAGTCGTTCAGTGGCTCTTTAATAATCTCTTATGAAAATAAACCAGAATGAATCTTCCAAGTGTATCCGTTAAGAATGTCTATCGTTTAACAAGTATTGGGATTATACTTGGTTTGAAAATTTAAAAGCCGAAGCTATGATTAATATCGTTACATGGCATTACATTTGATCTTATCTTCTCGTTTCATGCCTTCGACAGTTCCTTCAAGCTCAACATTCATACTAAATGGAAAATCTACCTTTACCCCGCTACTGTTTGATATTATAACTTCGATGCATTCTCGCAACGATGCTGCGCCATTTTTTAAGACGAATCAGCCAGCATTTTCGCGATAATAAAATACAACGACGAGCTGTCAAAGTTGGAAAATCTAAATAACGTAGATTGGTGGAAGGTAGAGCCCGGCGAGAACATTCGAGTCGGGCGCCAAATGCCCTTAACGAGGGAAGCCCCGACGACGAACAATGGCTGCGAACAATTTAGGCCAAGGCATTGAAAATTTCTTTCGTCACCGAGGCGCCAAATCAGCTTCGAAACTGTCAACTAACGAGAGGAGAAGACTCACTCTCGACGTCTATTTATATTTATAATGGCGGTCCAACTGTGCTAACTACGCTAAGAATACGAATGGAAGTACGTTGCTGGCGCCTGAAAAGTAAAGTGCCGAAAATATTGTAATTTTATTATTGTTTTTCCGTTTCTTTTTTTTATTTTGTGTTTTTTATGGTTATTTGCAAGCACAAGCACAGCCCCATTATGGATCTGAATAATGAAAAGAAAAACATGAAAGAGAATCCTAATTTTCTTGCATCTCGTATGTTTGAGATTGAATTCATTTTGAGAAAGTAAGGGAATAATCGCGCGATTATTCAAACTTTGTATATCGCTTGGGCATTCCAATGCTCCTGTTTACTGCGCACGCGTCGTTATACGTAAGGACGACCGCAGGCTTGATTTACTAGACGACTCGATTTTTTCTTGGTTCTGAATCCCCTTCGCTAGACTCCCATGTGTCATGGCTGCTTTGGACATCGGGAATTTGAAGTTAGGACGCGTGACTTACATTTATGGCGCCGGATGAATGACGGTTGATCGACTTTCACCATATTATTTACATATGAATTGCGCAGTGCAAGTGTAAAGCTCACTTTTTGCTGTAAGCATGAATATTCACGAGGACAATGATATTCTTGTCCGTGAGAATGTCAACTTCGAGGAGATGTTGCTGAACGATGACGAGATGAAAGGGTATTTGAATAAATTGAAGGAGTCCTGTGATAACTTCCAAGCAAAGATCGACCGGGGTATTCTGGAATCGATTTCAAAAAGTTCTGGTACGATTATTCTTCAATTTTATAAAGTAATAAGAGATGCGCTATCGATTGACGATTGCCTGTGACAATATTGCACATTCGTTGGTCGCTGATCGCTTAATTTTCAGAATGTGCCAAGCGAGTGGAAAAATGTTCCGAATCGATCATGCAATTGGCGAATCAAAGGAAGGAATTAAAGTCTGGCTTGGAGAGCTGTAATCTGAAGAAGAAAGTCGTTGAGAAAAAGACAATATGTACGATCAAAGAAATTGAGAGAACGAAGGCTGACATAGAAAGTATTAAAGGGAAGAAGGAGAAATTGTCGCTTGATATAATTGATTTGCAACAAGGTAATAATTATTTGCTACTCAATTTGTTGCTTCGTTTGGCCGTACGTGCATATTTATAACATATTTGTATATTTTTTTCTTTAGAATACAACAAAACTATCGAGTATATGAAAAAGCAATGGGATGCAGTTAAGAAAGCATGCTTTATGTACAAAAACATACTGGACATTCATATCGATGTTAGCACGATAGGAGATTCGGAGCAAATTACGGTAACGTTCTTTTGGACTGAAAATCCAACGGATAAAAAGTTTTTTGTAGTTTTTACGCATCGAGATGATTGTTGGAGAGGTAAGTAATCATCGACGCGACTGAGCTTAACATGCCAATCAACCATAGAATTGCATTCCTTTTTCTCTTTACATAAAATAGTCCTACGACATGCTAATTACGACCAATTTCGAAATTTAATTAAATCAAAATTTTTATCTTTCTTTTCTTATTTTGTGTTTTTGCTTCACGGTTAAGGTAGTAATCGCACTATAGTTTTTCTAAAAAACGTCGTACCGGATTTGTTAGTCTTATAGTAACTAATTCATAATTTATAGTGCCTAACTGAATTGTGACTCTATTATTGTTTCAGTTAAGAAAATTGAACCAGAATTAAGTGCGGAGAATAAGTATCAACTAAATCACATAGTTCAATTTTCCAAACAATCCGAGGTAGCTAATGTTACGTTATTACTTTGTGAATTAAGGACACTGTTTATAAAAGACTACTTTTCGGCCTAATGTAAAATAATTGACTTTAATTGTACAGTTTATATTTTTATAATATATATTAATAAATTTTTAAGTTATTTGCAAAAACCTCTTTATGTAAATTGAAATATTTAATTGTAATTTAATTTATTTATTTAGCTGATAATGTAGAAATCTCTAACTAAAGAGGCTTGTTGAAGGGATCTTATTTGTGTTGTTATTGATCCATGTCTTATATTCTATCGATAACCCTTGTCTCAAATACTTAAAGAAAATTTCAATTCCATTACAGTATGAATCAATTACTTGAGTACTCAAGGTAGATATATATTTTCAAAATTTGTTGTATTAATTTGCAATATACAATTCTTTTTTCCTTTAAATTCACTTTTTTATATACACTCTGTTATATATATATATATATATATATATATATATATATATATATATATAATAATCAATAATCGCTTTAATTATTTATAATTATTTTACAAAAAAATTTATGTAAATTGAGAATTTATTGAAAAACAATTACGAGAGCACATCTTGTAAATATTAAATTTTTAAATTAAAGAATTCACGTCGACCGAACTACTTTATATATATATATATATATATATATATATATATATATAAGATTTCTAAATTACCTACTTCAAACATAAACTTATACATAGATTCTCTTATTTCTTTCAAGTAAATACATTTTTCGCAATTCTGTTTTATCATAAAGAACTTATCAATGAATATTTAATGGTGACACATTAATAACTGTATGAAACTTTTAAAAATATAATCTAAACGTGCGTATATGTTTATTAGCAATTGAATTCAAAGAAATAAATTTCATTGTAATTTAGATTGTTTGTTATTGAAGTCAAAAAAAAAAAACTTCTATAATATAGTAAAAACGAGAGTAAGTTAATTGTTAGGTATATGAACAAAATATAATAATGCTGAATATTAATTCCTATGTAATACTACTTTAATATAAATACTAACTTGATTACAAAAAAAATGAAATAACTGAAAAAGTAACGTATGAGTATATGTCACTAACTGAATACAAAGTAATATATATATATATATATATATATATATTTATTTATTTATTTATTTATTTATCCAATATTCACGTAAAAAAAGAAATTTAAATTCATTAATTTATTCTATCGAATGACCTACTATATGTTCGAGGTTGATAAAAAAAATATTGCAAACATCATTCTCTAAAAATACAATTTTTCTCTAAAAATAAACATTTTTTATTTATTTATACTGTTGAATTATTTTAAATCTTTATTAAATTGCATGTTATCGTACTATATAATACTTTTGTTAGTATTATTTTACAAAATTCGTAGATAAATTTTTTGACAAATTGTATTTATTTTGAAATTGCGTAAAAAATACACTCATAGATTTTATAAAACGGTTATACGATTAACAATATGTGCTATAATACTTTTTGTAAGATTATTTAATATTAACAAAAGTAAAATATACATTTAGGAAAGCAGTAAGGAATATCAATTTATGTAGTATACAAATAATCAATGTTTCTGTTATCCTGAACAGTCCACTTAAATTGTACTTTATATTTGATACAGCTTACATGTCCAATCGAATTATTTCATTAATGTATACATACATTTTATAATAATAGAAATAATATTAATTAATAATCGATCAACATTGAGGCATATTATAAGTAATTCTATAGGCGAAAAAAAAAACAGTTATAAACTAATGTACAGTAACGATATCTTCTAAATGATACGATGTAATGTTTAAAATAATGAAATTGTCCAGCTCTAGGAATCTCGACGATACTGCAAGTGCTTGACTTTTCAACAAGTAGTTATTTGTGTGTTCAAAGTGAACAATTAATTAAATAAATTCATTGGATTTTATCAAGCATCAGTATTAATGATAACATATACATTCTTACCGCTAATTTCAATATTAAAATTTTGTTATTTAAATATTAAATTAATTTAAATACACTTTAATGAAAATCTCTACTATCGAAGCAAATAATAATTTACTTCGCGCGTATTAGTAACATCACTTTTACATTCATTAAATATTAAAGCCATTACAATGAAGAGTTGAATCGATAATATAAGACGCTAGCGTGGAAACATTTGTACTCGACGAAGTTTTATTTTAAGTATGAAAATTGAATCCCCCATAAAGGCGCTAAAGACTGCCAGTTAAAGAAAAAAAAAAAAAAAAAAAAAAAAAAAAAAAAAAAGAAAGTTTTTCTCACAACTGTAAATAATTCTGTTGTGATTGTTATAAATTTCGGTTTTCTCTCATCTTCGTGTCTTAGTAAGAAAAGGCTCGATGAAGATCATTCGTTATTATTCAACGCCAGGAAGAACATAAAAAGCATAGTCGAACGCCATTTGAGTTTGCGAAAGCGTAAGAAAATACGCGATATAATTCTCTTCGAGGCTCGTCGACACTCTCGCTAGCAAAAAGCTTGCACCTGCTTTACAATTATTCTTAATCGATAGAATAAATGGAAAAGGCGAGGATCTGTGATAAGGCCGAAAGTGTGTATTTCCGTGATAGATCGAGGAGTGGCGACGTCCCCCAAGACCCTCAAGCGTCTCTCGACACCTCGAGGACGATCGGCAAAACACTTCGCTAAGGTCTCCGCGACACTACGGGGTGACGAAGGGGGCATACTCCTGCTCGGAGCCCCGTATCGTCCCTACCCTCTCACCATCCTGGCCCTGCGGCTCGCCAGCCCAATCGAGAATGGCGAATATACCACGGGACAAGAGACTCGGGAATGTTCCTCCTCGTGTCAGCTGGCTTCCCTCCTCTTAAAAGGCCTGAAAAAGCCGCGCACCACATTACGTATGCAGGGGCACACGTCGATAGCAATCCCACGTCCCTTCATTGGTAGAATGGTCAACGGGGCCGAGTCGCGGGGTCAATTGATCGCTCACTGTCAATCAGCGCTCGGCGCGCAACTCCACGACAATTTCATTCGCATTTATTGACCCCTGGGCTCGCGATGTCCCTGCGCTCCTCACGAGCGGCATTCAATTACCGATCGATGTCTCGCCGATCCTAGCCCCGTGTGGCGCCACCCCCACTTGCCCCGGCGAGCCGAGTCCTCTCCTCCTTCCGGTTCGTGCCGTGTCGCCTTAGTGGCGCGAATTCGACGACGAGGACTAATCGGCCGTGAATCGCTCGTCGCGTCCAATCTAACGAGGCTGCTTCATTCGGCATTATTATTTATCCGTGCAGTATGCTTCGGGGCCTTTCCTTTCCCTCGCGTTCGCTTCTCCCTCGTTTATTTCTCTGTTGCCGCTTTCCGCGACTGGTATGGTCGCGGTCTTTCGAGCGTCTTTCCTTGCGGTGGACGATGATTCTGTGGGAAAGAGGTAC